ATGGGTCCTGTTTCATTTTTTTGCAAATGGATATCCAGTTTTGCGAGCACCGTTTGTTAAAAAGACTGTCTTTTCCCCATTTGATGGACTTTGGGCCCTTGTTGAAGATCAGGTGACCATAGGTGGATGGATTTATGTCTGGGTTCTCAATTCTTAGTAGTTTCTTGAGCTAACTTTAGTAGTTAGTTTCTTGAGGATAAAGTTCTTAAGGTGCTCCTTGAGGGAAAATAACTAGACCTTTCGTGTAGTTTGTTTTCAACAAATTTACATTAAAAAACAAGAAATAGTGCTTAGTTACAAGGAGTTGTAGATAAGCTGCTTTCTGTTATAATAAATCTAAGGATTTTAATGTAAAATGATTCATTGTATCTGCCCAGTGATAGGTGGTTGGTAGATAAGGAGTTCACTGTTGATCACATTAAGTTTCTTGTATGCCGGCAAGTTGATTCTGACTTATAGAGACCTATAGGACAGAGTAGAGCTGCCTTACAGGGTTTCCTAGGCTGTAATCTTTACAGAGCAGATCGCCAGGTCTTTTCTCCTGCAGAGCTGCTTGTGGGTTCAAACTGCCGACCTTTTGGTTAGCAGCTGAGTGCTTAAGCATTGCATCACCAGGGCTCCTAATGTTAAGCTTAAAACCAGCCAAACCCATTGTCATCAAGTCAATTCCGACTCATAGCAACCCTGCAGGACAGAGTAGAACTGCCCCATAGGGTTTCCAAGGAGCATCTGATGGATTCAAACTGCTGACCTTTTGGTTATCAGCCGAGCTTTTAACCACTACGCCATGTTAAGCTTAGATACACTTTATTCATATTGAGACTGAGTACATAAAAGTAGAAGGAAGAAATTGATAGGGAGCCCTGCACAGGGACATCATCCTTCATGAATGAAAATATGCACATTTATGTATATTTATTAAGAATGGATGGTAAAAATAGATACGAAAGTATTTAGTAATTTAAACTACATTGTCAGATCTGAAAAAAATGGTATTTAAAATGTATGTGGAGAGTGTAGGTGAGAAGTTGTGTTAAGGAACAGCCATACTATAAATGAAGTCTTGTTGTCTTTATTGTTTTCCTTATATGTCTTATATGTAACATTGGCATTTTGAAATGAGGTTTTTCATCAAAAGGAAAGATCTATTTTAAAAACCTATGTTTTATGATTAAAACTGCTGCTTTATTTTAGATCATCTCCTGTACACATCATAGCGACTAGCAAAAGTTTACATTCCTATGCACGCCCTCCACCAGTGTCCTCTTCTTCTAAGAGTGAACCAGCCTTCCCTCATCACCACTGGAAGGATGAAACACCAGTCAGACATGAAAGGGTGAGTTTATTCATGAGGTTAAACTTTTACACAGTTTGCACAGTAGTTGAACTAGATTAATTTTCCCCCTTTAAGAAGTTCTTTAGAAGCACATACAGATGGGAAATAGTTCTCATTGTTCTAGAGTTGATTTTATGTATAGCTCTATTACTAGTTTAAATAAAAGCAAAACATTAAAAGTGGGAACATGCATTTAAAACTTCCATAAACGTCTATAAGCTTCAGTTTTTGAAGGCATTATATTTTCCCTGTGCTTAGAATGGCTGAATTATTCACTAATATGTTGGCGTGAGACAAAAACAGGTATTAACAAGATATATTAAAAAATCAAAATAAAAATGTTTGTAATATTTTCTCACTAGGCAAATAGTGAGTCAGAATCTGGCATTTTCTGCATGTCTTCCCTCTCAGATGATGATGACTTGGGATGGTGCAATTCCTGGCCTTCAACTGTTTGGCACTGTTTTTTGAAAGGTAAAAAAAATACTTGAATTTTTCTCAGCTTCCTTGTGTAACACAGTAGTCACATATTTAACGTTGGTCTTCTGCTTAAACTAGGCACACGGCTATGTTTTCATAAGGGCAGCAATAAAGAATGGCAGGATGTTGAAGATTTTGCTAGAGCCGAAGGCTGTGATAATGAAGAAGATCTCCAAATGGGTACTCACAAGGTAAATTTAAATTCTTTGAAAATCTTCCAAATGAAACCTAAAGTTATTGTCAGCCTACAATTCTAGTCTCTGTTTGCTTTCATATTTAAATGGCGTGTTACATTTTAAGTAGAGGTTTTGTGACTGCCCTTTGTTGCTTACCTGATGGAGAGGAACAGTGACTTGGGTTTACCTTTCTAATTATACTTCCTTATTTGCAAAAAAGAGTGTATTTCTTAGCACTCTCCATTTTATGTTGGGGAAGACTAAACTGGCATTCAAAATAAATAAATAAGTAAATAAACCTACCAAAGCCTTATTTTAGATAATCTACAAAGTGGTTAATTCCCCTGTGGGTAATTGAGAGTTGATTATATTGTTAATTTTTAAATAATTCCATAAACACTACATTTTCTAAGTTAATAAACAAAAGCAGTAGTGGGCACCATTAGGATAAACATCCATTGACTCCTTTAACATTGAAATTTCTTATTTCTCCTCTTTCTGTGGTAGGCAAAAAAAAAATAAGCATGCAGAGTGTGCTTGTTTACAATTCCTTTTTTATCCTGCTATCCCCTCTCATTGAGTTTCTTGAGAAAAATAGTTCTGACTTGGCTGTCTTCAGTTTCCCCCCTTCATTGCTCTACTTCACGATAGAAGCCCAGTTCAACCTCTACCACTCTACTAAAATTTGTCTGAAAGGTCTCTAGCTTTATTCTAATTTCTAGGACCAGAGACTTCTGCTTGTTCTATTTGACATCTCTGCAGCGTTTGACACAGTGGGTTAGTTCCTGAAATCATCTTCCATTGGTTTGTATAGCATGGCAGTGCCCTGATGTGCCTTCTGATGTCTCAGTCTTTTTGACTGGCTACTTGTCTGTCCGTGCTGCTGAATGTAGCACAAGGTTCTGCCCCTCCTCATTCTTCAGCAGCTCTTCTCCACCAGTATTGTCAGCAGCACCTCCATAGTGGGTTGGGGAAAGCAGGTTGAACTTGGAGTCGGGAAACTTCTAGCTCTTGCAGTAATTGTTTGTGTGACTGGCCTTGAACAGATTGTTCACCTCTGTGGGTGCTGGCTTCCTGGTCTGTCAGATGGGATTGGATTAGTTTTAAACCATGTAGCTTTAAGTAATGTAGCTCTAAGAATTTTGTTGTCGCTGTTAGGTTCTATTGAGTCGATTCTGACTCATAGTGACCCAGTGTGATAGAGTAGAACTACCCCATAGAGTTTCCTGGGCTGAAATCTTTACCGGAGCAGATTGTAAGGTCTTTTCTCCCAAGCAGCCTCTGGGTGGATTCAAACTTCCAACCTTTCAGTTAGCAGTTGAGCACTTAACTATTATACCACCAGGGCTCCTTTCTAAGAATCGTTAAGATTCTGTAATTCATTTATTTACAAGTATATATCTATAGCCCTTACCTGCACATTCCCAGTTGCTTGTTAAAACACCTCTATGTGAACATCAGTCAGTTCTTCAAACTCAGCTTAGTATGACCAAAACCAGACTTGCTTTCTTTCACTTCCTGGCTTATTCTTTCCCTCTTCTTTTAAAGATATTATTAGCTTTCCTGATTCCCAGATTCCAAACCAAAGAGTTGTCTTTTATAATTCCCTTTTTTCCCTTCATATTCAGTTGATCAATTCTATTTCCATAAAAAAGATTTTCTGTAATCATTCTTCTCATTCATTACTTTGTTCATGCTCTAGTTTAATAATGATTGGATACTATAACTAGCTGTTAGCATGTTTGTCTCCTTTTGTTCTTATGAGTCTAAGGGTAGGGATCATGTCTTCTTCATGTTTGTATTTCCAGAGTCTAGCACCCAGCATTTTCTAAATGCTCAATAACTATAGTTTAAATTTAAATTTAATCTGGTTCTACCACCACTGCATTAGTTAAGATTTTGTTTTACTTGTGAATTAAGTAACAAGTTCTTTTCTTTATATTCTCAAATAATAGATTACTTGAGGTACCTGCTTTAATCTGCAGTCATTGTTATTTTAAAATTGATGATAAGTCATATTAATAAAAATAATTGACTTCCCAAAACCCTCTAAAGGGAAAGTTTAAGTACTTTGTACGTCTTTAAGATCTCTTTACTAACTGGTCCCTCCTTTTCAGCCTTATTTGCACCGACTCTGAACTCACCTTGTATTTTTAGCTAATACGCAGCACTCACCAAGGAAGTTGCTAATTAGAACTGTTCCTGGTGCAAGAAATGGTCTTCTTTCACCTTTCTAAATTTCATTCTTCTTTTAAATACCAGTGTAAATGGGAATCGAAAATCCTTCCTAAACATCTCTGTCTTTTGGAATTATTATCTTCCTTTATTTAAACTCCATTAGCATTAAAGTGCTTATTCCAATTTGTATTATATTATAGTTATTTTTATACATATCTTTCTTCACTGCTGGGTTGAAAGCTCATTGAAGACAAGGACCCTGTCTTGTTCATTTTTATCTTTTCCACAAAGTCTTGCGCATCATAGGAACTTCATTATGTATTGAATTGTACATTTCCAATTCATTCCCTCTGTGCATATGTTTTCAGGGCTATGGTTCTGATGGTCTAAAGTTGTTATCACATGAAGAAAGTATATCATTTGGCGAGTCTGTACTGAAGTTGACTTTTGATCCTGGTACAGTAGAAGATGGTTTACTTACTGTAGAGTGTAAGCTGGACCACCCTTTCTATGTTAAAAATAAAGGTAGGATTTCAGTTGAATTTCTAGTAACTTTAAGAAAAATTTGTTAAATCCTTAATTATGTCTTGTGCTTTTGGTGATTTAAAAAAAAAAAAGGGAGAATTTCTTTCAAAAAACTAAATAAGATTACCACAGAAATGCTTGTTAGTAATACCTAATGGTGCTTAAAAATCATAGCAGTAGTCAGGTGGAACTCTTACTTCTGTGAGTATGAGAAATTTTTATATTCACGTAGCATACTACAATAAGCTCTCTGTTATCTTGGTATAGTTTGGGGAATGAAATATTCTGGATAATCACATTATGGTTTAGAGTTACCAAGTATGTTATAAACTTGAATCACTTTTCAGAGCCTTACTGTAATAAAATCATGTCAAATGTGTAGTTTAATAATCCAGAGACTTATTTCATGGACTCAGTAATCATCACTTACCACTTACCATCTTGTAGATTAAAAGGTCCCTGAGTGGCACAAATGGTTTGCACTTGACTACTGACCTTAAGGTTGGCAATTCGAACCCACCCAGTGGTGCCGTGGAAGAAAGTCATGGCGATCTGCTTCCATAAAGATTACAGCCTAGAAAACCTTTCGGAGCAGTTCTATTCTCTAACACGTGGGGTCGCCATGAGTCAGAATTGACTTGATGGAAACTTTTTTTATTTTGTAGATTGATAAAAGTGCGATTAATAGGAATCTTTTTAGTAAAATGCTGAATTAAACGAGTTTTAGAGGATTTTTACATTGCCTAAAAGAAATATCTAGTACTTGGTTTATTGCAAAGATTCATGACTTGTGTTAGAAAAGCTCTTGGAACTTATTTGAAATAATAACTTTTTGTTCTAAAGACACAGAAATGATAGGTTTGTATAAGAAATAATTGGGGGTGCTTTCTGTCGTTCCTCATGCTTTATGTGACCATTGTTTAATTTAACTCTAGGTTGGTCATCATTTTATCCAAGCTTGACTGTGGTACAGCATGGCATTCCATGTTGTGAAATTCATATTGGCGATGTATGTCTACCTCCTGGACACCCCGATGCCATTAATTTTGATGATTCAGGTGTTTTTGATACATTTAAAAGGTAATATTGGATTAACTTTTTTTTTTCCCCCAGTTAAGGTTTGCGCTTAGTCTCCCTAATTATTGCTTAGTCAAATATTTAGGAGGGGTTAGCCTTTGAAAATTTGAGAATTTGAAAAGAATTACTTAGAGGAAAGTATATATGTAACTAAATAAAAATTATTAGGTAATTAAAGTAAAATAGTAGTAAGCGGGGAGTTTTGCATAGAGTAGTCAGTCATATAGGAAAGGTGAGTTTATAAAATGTTTAGAGTTAGATTAGGAAATATTCCACATGTTATATGACCAAGTTACGTTGTTTGATAGTTATATAAAAAAATTCCTTTCTGGACAGTTTTTAACTAGTTCATAAATCTCTTACTAATATGATTTGTAATTAACTGAATCTTATTTAATTTTAACTAATTGCATCTGTGTAAAATTACTCATTTTTGCCAGATGCATTAGGTGCATGGTTTAGCTAATAATAAAAATAGCAAAAGCTTGACATTTGGAAAGACTTAAGAGAGGGAAGCTAGTAAGTGGCAGAATGAACCCACATGTCCTGACTCTCAAGAAGGTTGACCGACTATTCCATTTTGCCTGGGACTTTGCTGGTTTTAGCACTGAAACTCCTGCATCCCTGGGAGCTACTAAATCCTGGGCAGACTGGAACTCCCAAGTCTGAGACTCATTTTACTACCCTATGTTTTAAGTCATCATTTTAGTTCTTAATTTCCCACTGCGTGCCTTTTCTAGGTAGTTTCTTATTTTGAGCATGAGAAATTTGTGTAGCTGAACTTGACATTTTAGTGCTTTGAGGTGATAGAGCTAGATTCTAAAGTACAGGAGCAAGATGAAAAATCTTGTATGTCAGAATTACTCTTGGAAGGTCTTTAGATCACCCAAAAGGTATAGTATGCGTGGTTTTTTATATGTAACCTTACAGAGTAGTTCTTACTTATACTACAGTTTGAGAAGAACTGGGCTAGACTGAAAGAAGATATTCAGAGAAAGTCTGTGTGCAAATATCTGGGATTTTAAGACTTACTCTTTCTTTAAGATAATTATCAAATCCATAAGTGTGTATGGGCACTAAGTAGAGAATTCTCAAAAGTTGTTCTTTCAGATTTTATTTCATTGAGTTTAGTATAAGGTTAATATGTTTGTATCTTGTAAGGATAGTGAGGTTACTATTTACAAAAGCAGATAGCATGGGACCTGGCACAGGGCCTGTGTTCAGTAAATGTCTGCAAGATTGGAACCTAAATGCTGTTAGATTACATGTGTCATATACGCTATGAAAAATTGTAGAGAAATAAGGCAATATTTTAAGATCTGATACTCTTAGGTATTCTTAAGGTGTGGATCAGATATAAGTTACACATTTTGGTGAGAGTATAAACTGATAAATTTTACACAGTAATTGGGCTTTATCTTGTCAAGTTGGCTAACAGCAGTTCCATTTCTGTGTATATCTATACCCCAGAGAAGTGAATTCTCGTAGACGTGCACTTGGAGATATGTAAATAAATTTGTAGGTGTGTTGCTGTGATAGGAACAATATCAGTACCCATTAACTGGAGAGTGGTACTTAAATTGTGATATGATTACATACTGGAATTCTTTCTGCCAGTAGAAAAGACTAAACCTTAACTGTACATTTTAAAGCATGGCTTAATTTTAGAAATGTTAAGTAAAAAATTGTCTCAGAATATATATAGTATGATTCTATTTTTTATGGAATCACATTCTTCAGAAATACATCTAATAAAATTATAAATATATTTAAATTTATATTATTATATTTAGATATTATATGTAATACCCATTATGTAATTGTGGATGGAATTATGATTTGGTGGGGGTACTGCCTGACACAGAGGGGGCAAGGAGGGCAAGACGGGAAAGAAAGGAAGAAGAAACCCTTAGTCCAAGAGAGGACCCCAGAATAAATTCCCAGGTATCACTTGGGGATTTGGGCAAGCTTTTGGGTCATGATGTGCAAGGAGAGACATTTGAGTAGATTCTAGCTTGGTTAAGGAGCAGAAGGCAGCAAGCAGTGAATGAATGCTCTCTTTAGACACCAGTTGAGGCTCTCTTGAAGAAAAAGATTCCAAGTAAGCATGATTTAAAGAAGCTCATTCTGAGGCACTGAGAATTCAGGCCAGTCTTTTGGGCATCAGGCAGGTTTAAATTGGTCCCTTTTGACTTTATGAAGTTGACATTTCTATTCAAGTGAAATGATAATTTAACAGACAAACTTATTGACTGCCTTCTACTTTATGTACCAGGCACTGTACATATGTTAATTTAGTTAATCTTCACTACTCTGTTAGTAGATTATATCCTCCTTTTACAGAGGGGGAACTAAAGCAAAGAGAGGGAACATGCCCAAAACATAGCCAGTAAGTGATATAACTAGGATTCAAGCCTATATCTTGTAAAAATTCCAAATTCAGTACTCTATCTACTAATCCAGGCTACTTCTACAATAATAATTAAAAAACTCGTTGAGTAGATTCCGACTCACAACGACCTTCTAAGACAGAGAACTGCCCCATGGGGTTTCCAGGGAGCGGCTGGTGGGTTCGAACTGTCACTCTTCCAGTTAGCAGCTGAACACTTAACCACTGTACCACCAGGCCTCCACAATAATAATAGATACCCCTAATTAAGTACCTATTATGTGCCCACCTTGTCCTAAGTGCTTTACATATATTGTTTTTTCAGCAACACTGCAAAACATATATTATCTTCGTTTTACAGGTAAGTAAACTGAGGCTAGATGGTTTATTTAACTTACCCAAGCGCATACTACTAGTAAGTGGCAGATTTGAACTCAATTAAAATTTTACAGTATTACGTTCTCCAGAATTTACTTAATGATTTAACCCTTTCAGTCACCCAGCTATTATTTGAGAGCCTAGTTATGTATGTGCTGGGTTTAAAATCAGTCAAGACATAGGCCTTGCCCTCTTTGCTTCCAGTCTTGAGAAGGAAATGGATTAGTAAATATATACGATGTGGTATACTGATTGAGAGGCAGTGTATCATATCTTGGTAGGACCTTGAGCTCTGGAGCTACGCTGCCTAGATTCAAATCCTGGCTCTACAACATATTAGCTGTGGAACCTTGGGTACATTAACCTTTCGACGGTTCTTTTTTTTTTAATCTGTAAAATGGGGGTAATATTGTAGGGAGGATTAAATGAGTTAATAATATATGTGACGTTATAACATATAACTTTAAAAGGCACTACATTATTGTGAAATTTTAAAGAAATGATTTGACAAAGAAGGTGGGAAAGGGCAGTCTAAGCTGAAGGAATGGCATGTACAAAAGTCAAGGTGTGAAACAAGGCACATTCCAAAGAATGCAGGTAGTTTAATGAGAACAGGTGCTTATCTGAGGGGGTGTAGCAGAGGATTAAGCTATTTTCTAGAATCTGGTGTCCTGTGTCCTGTTTTAACGCTGTAGTCATGTCAGAAATTCTGTGATTGAATATTTCAAATTAATTTGAGTTGTATTCATAACGGGAATAGATGATGGCTGTATTTGTGCCCCTAGAGGCACATTTTTTTTGGGGGAGGGTTCATATTTTAGAATTAGCTACCCTATTTTAAAATCTTCCAGTATTTCAAATTGTGATTAAATATTTTTCTTTAGTAGAGATTAATAATTTTGTGTCAGTTTCATTTATAATGCTTAAGTTTGCTATTTTTTAAAACTGTATATGGGAGGGCTTAAGATATTTTGTGGAAGTTGCAACCTTATAGATAAAATTGCTTTTGACACAATACTGATTGCTAAGCATTCGTTAGATGATTTTGGAGTCATAGTTTAAGTACATTTATTTCATGTACTACCTTGTTTAAAAAAAGACATTGTGATTGATAATTAGAAGTCATTTTTATTGTGTTAGTGAATAGCATGGAACTCCCCATTTATTTAGCCCTCTTCTTCTGTCTTTAGAATAATTCATAATCCCATCTAGAAGTCTGAATTCAGAGTGCCGGCTCTAGGCGAACGCTTTCTCTCTGTCAGCTCTGGAGGAAAGTCCTGTCTCTTTAGCTTGTTTCCTGGTTCCTTGGAAATTTCCATGTATCAAAGCATCTGTCCATCTCTTGTCTGCTCACTTGTTTAATCTTTTACATGGCAGACACTGACTCAAGATACTCCCTACACTAATCCTACCTGATTAACATAACAAAGACAGCATATTCCCAAATGGAATTACAACCACAGGCATAGAGGTTAGGATTTATAACACATAACAGCTAGTATCAACCTCTTGTGCTGTATTACTGGAATTTCTGTTTCAGGGAGAGAAGTAGGAGCTGGGTTCAGAATAAAAGCTGAATAAAAGGTTTTTTACCAAGAAAGTATAAAGTATGGGTGGAAGGAGTTGACACAGTTGGAACAAGAGAGTTCTTTCGACAGGTGCTGCCTTTAGGCTATGGCCTACATTAGCTTTAATTTTCAGCTGTTATTTTTAATTACTGTTATTTGTTCACCTTGAGTTTAGTGGATGACTCCTTGGTTATTTGGCAGTGCAGGGTACCATCGTGTGGTTAGGAAACCTGGGGTTTTGGAGGTAGACAGATGTGGGTTTGAAACATGGCAGTGTGGCCTTTGTAGTAATACTTTATCTTTTCTAGACTGTTTGCACATATCAAAGACGGGGATAATGATACCTTCCAAGCAGGCTTGTTAAAGAGATAAGATATAATATAGATAGCTTATTTCCGTGCCTCTGTAAACTGTTCAGTTTTATACAAAACAAAATGTGGCCTTTCCTGATAAATCTGTGTTTTCAGTATGAACTTTTAAGTTAGGCTATGCTGTAATACATGGATGGCCATCTAGTGATACTGATACATGTATGGCTGTTGGTCGTTACACAGTGACTCAGATCACTGTGCATTCCTTTAGCTGATTTTAACAGTTTTGAGTGCCAATATTTACTTACTTTTTTTCTTCTGTGGTAGTCAGTCCTTAGGCCTGCCACTGTATCTTAATTTTCTAGATCTAGGCTCCTGTAGGCCAAGAAATCAGATTGTCAAATTTGTCAGAATTGAATCTAAAGTAAGAATAAATGGGTTGTGAGTAGGATCAGGAGGAGGTGCTTGGTATCAGTAGAGTTATGTGGCTTATAACAGATTCCTATGGGGGGGCTCAAAGTCTTTTTTAAATTAACTTCCTTATTTTCAGTAGTTTTTTTTTTTTTTAATAAGTTTAGTCAGTGGATACATAATTTAGATAAGTAAGGTTTCATCTTACAAGCAACTGTCAATGGCAAGGTCAAAGTATAAAGTTTTGATAACATTGTATAGGGTGAATACATTGACATTTCCAGTCAAATGTTATTTTTTTTTTTAATCTGTTTTTACAAACCAGATATATCTAAGTGGAACTAAAACCGTGTTTTGTTTTTTTTTAATTTATAGCTATGACTTCACACCTCTGGATTCTTCTGCAGTGTATGTGTTAAGTAGTATGGCTCGTCAGCGTCGTGCATCTTTGTCTTGTGGAGGACCCGGTGGTCAAGACTTTGCCAGATCTGGATTCAGTAAAAACTGTGGCTCACCTGGATCGTCACAGCTCTCTTCCAATTCTTTGTATGCTAAAGCTGTCAAAAACCACAGCTCAGGGACTGTGAGTGCCACTTCTCCTAACAAGTGCAAAAGACCAATGAATGCCTTCATGCTTTTTGCCAAAAAATACAGAGTTGAATATACTCAGATGTATCCAGGGAAAGATAACAGGTAAAAATAGTGATAATTGTGATTATAATTGAGTAACATTTCAGTGCAGTTCGCAGTAACTGGTATGGTTAAATGCACTTATTTCTTTTATAGCTTTTATTATTGAATTCTTTTTATTTTCTCAGATTGACTTTAAAATGAAAAGCTTAAGTGAAATTTTTAGTACCATGTGCAGTTATTTTATATACTACCTAGATAGGCAATTAGGGTACCTTAATGGTAAGTATCTACCTTTTAAAAAATATTAAATGTCATTAGTCTGTCAGAAAGCATACTTCTAACAACTGACAGGTCCAGCTTTTGGAGCAAGGTATTGGCTTGGACACATTTGAGAAATTTTCATCATTCTGGCGTTTTCATAAATTTAAGCTCTATAAAAAATTCAGCTTAATTACTAAAGATATTCTTTGGATCATGTTTTAGAAACACAGGAAAGTTTTCTGGAGGGATCGTCTTCCTCTGAATTCTATCAATGTGAACAAAGAAAAGCTAGAAAATAAGAATTAGTTTGAGGTTCTTATTCTAAGCTTGTGTTACACATTTGGAGGGGGAAAAAATCAGTAAGTGGCTACTTGAACCAGACCTTTTTTTTTCCCTGTGATTTTTTTTTTTGTGGTGTCTTTACCTGGTTTTAGTATCAGGGTTATGCTGGCTTCATAGAGTGAGTTTGGGAGTATTCCATCCTTTTCTGTGCTCTGAAATACCTTTAGTAGTAGTGGTGTTAACTCTTCTCTGAAAGTTTGGTAGAATTCTCCAGTGAAACCGTCAGGGTCAGGGCTTTTTTTTTTTAATTGTTGTGCTCTAAGTGAAAGTTTACAATTCAAGTTAGTCTCTTATACAAAAATTCATACATATATTTGTTATGTGATCCTAGTTGCTTTCCTTATACTGTGACAACACACTCATTCTTTTCACCCCAGATTTCCCATGTCCATTCAACCAGCTCCTGACCCTCTCTGCCTTCTCATCTCACCTCTGGACAGGAGCTGTCCATTTAGTCTCATGTGTTTACTTGAGCTAAGAAGCACACTCTTCACGAGTATCATTTTATATCCCATAGTCCGGTCTAATCTTTGTCTGAAGAGTTGGTCTTGGGAATGGTTTTAGTTTTGGGCTAACAGAGAGTCCGGGGGCCATGTCTTCTGGGGTACCTCTAGTCTTGATCAAACCATTAAGTCTGGTCTTTTTACTAGAATTTGAGTTCTGCACACCACTTTTCTCCTGCTCCATCAGGGACTCTCTGTTGTGTTCCCTGTCAGAGTGGTCATTGGTGGTAGCCGGGCACCATCTAGTTCTTCTGGTCTCAGGCTGATGGATTCTCTGGTTTATGTGGCCCTTTGTGTCTCTTGGGCTAATGCTTTCTTTGTGTGTCGTTCTCCTTTGCTCCAGGTGGGTTGGGGCCAATTGATGCATCTTAGACGGCCGCTCGCAGCTTTTAAGACCCCAGACACCACTCACCAAAGTGGGATGTAGAACCTTCTCTTCATAAACTTTGTTATGCCAGTTGACCTAGATGTCCCCTGAAACCATGGTCCCCAGACCCCCACTGCTGCTACTCTGTCCCTCAAAGTGTTTGGCTGTATTCAGGAAACTTCTTAGCTTTTGAATCAGACTTCTAATGTGTAATTATGCAGGTATTTAAAATATTCTTTTACCACTTTATATATTACCAGTTTGAGAGGGCAGTGATGGTTCAGTGGTAGATTTCTCACCTCAGTGTAGGAGACCCAGGTTTAATTCTTGGGCCATTGTACCTCAACTGCACTCATCTGTCAGTGGAGGCTTGCATTACTGTGAAGCTGAACAGGTTTCAACAGAGCTTCCAGACTGAGAGAGACTAGGAAGGAAGGCCTGGGCAATCTATTTCTGAAAAATCAGCTAATGACCACCCTGTGGATCACAGTGGCCTGATCTCGTTGTACACCGGGTCGCCATGAGTTGGAGTCTGACTCAATGACAGCTAATAACATTATCACTTTATGTTAATAAAAATCTAATTTAGCTAAGAGTTTCACTTAGTTTGGATATTTCATAAGAACAATAATTCTTTTGTAAACAAAAATAAAAGGTACCTTAAAAAATTGGAAGACTAAAGTATTCATTGCTTACGGTTAATACTAAAAAATGAAAATTGCTTCTAGATCAGGAGTATATTTAAATGACCTATTAAACTTTTTTAGGCAGTAACTAAATTTCATAAACTGCCTTTAATTAACCCCCCCAAAAATATTAACTTTCTTTCAAATCCAGTTTTGAAAAACCTTATTTAATCTTCAAGTACCTTGTCACGTAACATTATTCTATTCTTTTTTGCGATGTCCTTAACACTTCAGCAGCATCTTTTAGAATGTAAAGGAACTTTAAGAACAGTTTAATTGGGCTAGGCAGAATATCCATTTTTATTTTCTCTAAGGAAAGAATGTGGTGTTTACCTTCTGTTCATTCTGTAGACTATCCTGAAGGATTTAAAGGTAGCAGAGATTTTATAAAACATGCATCTTCATTCATTGTTCTTTGGGAGCTTTATAGAAAGGACTAGCTCTTCCTTTGTCAGGTCTCAAAACCAAAAAAAAAAAAAACAGTTGCTGTGGAGTCATTTCTGACTCATTGTGACCCTAAAAGACAGGCTAGAACTGCCGGATAGGATTTTCAAGGCTGTAATCTTCATGGAAGCAGACTGCTGCATCTTTCTCCCACGGAGTGGCTAGTGGATTCAAACTGCCGACCTTCCGGTTAGCAGCCGAGTGCTTAACCACTGCACCGCCAGGGCTCCTCAGATGTCAAGGATGTACTTATTTTACAACTACGTCATGCTATGGAGTGTGCAGACACTGGCAATTTGTAGTAAGTTGCCAGATTTGTCGAAATGATGACTGACCTTAAGAGTTGTCCTCAGCAGAGCCAGGAATAAAAACTCAAGTCCTTCCTACTTTCTTTTTTGTACCCTTACTCATCTCTTAGAGTCTTCTATTACTCTCTCCCTCTCAAACCAACCAAGTTCTCCATGAATTAAAGTTATATTCTTTCCAGTCTTCCATTTCCCTCGTAACCAAAACTATCATTTCCTTTACCCTTGATGTCATGGCGAAAAGCCAAATGATACCACATAAAATAACTAAGTTACTTATTCGGCTTTGAATGTCTGATAAGCTTAATTCTAAGTATTTACATTTTAAAAGAGGAGCTTCTTGTCCCAAATGCATCTGATTTGGGAGTTGATTAGTATATATATTTCTTGGTCAGTTTACTTTAAAACATACAAATAACACTAATGATTATCTTTGTCCTAGTTTCTGTTTATTTCTTTAGAATCAGTTCCTAAATGTAGAATTACTGAGTCAAGAGTTCTGTGGGCCTTTTCAGCACTGTTGAAATTTTGTGTAACTTTTGTCTCTGTCACTTTTGTGACCTGGGGCTATTAACCTAAATTCTAATTCTGATCTCTCATTTATCAGTAAAAAGAGTGGGTAAAGCTGTATTCTTTTTTAAAAATTCAGTTTGGAAGTCGTCTTCTCTGGTGACTAGTAGGTGATTTTCTCAAGAAAATATACTTTTAGAATATAAAAGCACCTTAAGAACAATTACACTGTTACCCTTCCCCTCTTTTTTTATTTAAACTAAGGAAATAGCTGGCCTTAGAGATTTACTTACTGGAGTCATGCTGCATCTTTCCTTGTATCGTCCCTCAGGGATGGTGTGTGTAGGACTTTGTATACATCCAGTGCCTGATTATTAAATATGATAATAGAAGCAGGGCTAGAATAAGATTCATTAATAATCCTCTTCACCCAGCAGTTGAGAGTCTCAGCAAGGAAGCATTCTGGGCAATTAGACTACCCCTGATTGTAAGAATAGTGTCAGCCTCAGTTTTGCTTCCTTAAGGTTATTGTTTTACTGTTCTTTTTTTAGGATCACCAATTATATCAGGTTATACCCCTCACTGCTTATAAATCATTTTATAAAGCATTTTTAGCCCTGCTCCCAGGTGGTATGTTGTAATCGTCTAACACTGAGGGGTATCAGAAGCACACCTATCTATCTCTACATTGAATTTTAATTTTGAACTTGTATTTTTCCCCCTCTCTAATAAGGATATGTCTTAATTCAATAAATGAAGAAGTCTGCATTATAGGGCAAATTGTGAGGGAATGGAGGCTAGAATAGATAGGTCAGAGAGATATATAACTTAGGGATATCATTTTAAGTTTGGTATAAACTTCAACTGCAAAACTAATTTTTAGATGATGTGTATATTTGATAATTGTCAAGGAAAGGTAACGTATAAATATTTCATGCAGAGCAGATGAAATGTGTATTGGGCACATTTCATTAGCCATCATCTTTTAACTTAAAAGGAAGGTTTTTACAATATCTTAAATGAAGGTAGCATAACTACCCCCTTCAGAAACATTTCATATTATTAGTTACTTGGGAAGACTGAAATGTGTATGTGTGAATATTATTTAATTGGTAAAAATGTAAACCAATTATATGATAACTTTAACCCAGACTATAAAAATTAGTCTTTCTTTTATTAAAGGAAGATGTAACAATATGCTTAATTGCAACAAGTTAATTGGATAAAAAGACAAATATACTTACTATATATTTAATTTCATTTTTAGTAATAGAACCTCTGTGGTTACTCTTCTTCTAAAACACAGATGCTTATGTTTTTAACTTCGTGTCAGAGAGTATAAAATCACTTGTATATATTTTGTGCAAGATGTTTTGGGATCTTCCGTGTTGTATCATGAAATAAGTCGTTAAAAGCTTTTCATAAAAGGAAAGTGGTTTAAGTCTGAGTGTCCTGAGTAAAACTGCATTAGTAGGTTTGGGAGCAGAGGAACAAGTATAAATAGGAAATAGGTTCAAATTTATATCATGTATCTGTCAGTTTGACTTCTTACATTTGAGTTTATCCAATTTTCCAAAGTGAGAAGTATGAATATTGCCTGAGGTTTACATGGTGTCATCTTGGGAGATGAACAGTAAGGCGTGCATAGTTAATGCTACCACATTTTTCACTGCGGTTGCATGAATGAAAAAGGACCTTTGTCATACTGTTTGGTGGGCTATAGGCATAAACAAAGTAAGAATAGTTTCAATAATAGCTGAATACTTTATGCTGCTGATTCTGAACATTGTCTGCCTTTATATCTTAAACATCTTTTTAAAATTGATGTGCCAGGATAGATCTAATGGTAATTTCAATTTTTTTTGAAATAATATTTAAAATATTTCCTTTTAAATGTAAGCTTTATAGAACATCCAATTTCAGATGTATTGTAACCATTTGAGATGGAGCCCTGGTGGCGCAGTAGTTAAGAGCTATGGCGAACTGCAGCTGCTAACCAAAAGGTCAGCAGTTTGAATCCACCAGCCACTCCTTGGAAACTCAGTGGGGCAATTCTACTCTGTCCTGTAGGGTTGCTATTAGTCAGAATTAACTTGATGGCAGTGGGTTTGGTTTTTTGGACAACTGGAAATATTCCAGAAGGCTTTAACTAAAATTTTCCCTTCCCTGTGTTGGACAAGATATTTATCTTTTTTTTAACTTTACAGAAGTAATAGCACTTGATAGGAGTTTTATGAAAACTTCTTGCCTTTAGCATTGTGTAAATATTTATTTTACAGAGCCATAAGTGTGATCCTTGGTGACAGGTGGAAGAAAATGAAGAATGAAGAGAGAAGGATGTACACATTAGAAGCAAAGGCTTTGGCTGAAGAACAAAAACGTTTAAATCCTGACTGTTGGAAAAGGAAAAGAACCAATTCAGTACGTTTCACCAAGTAGTTGCATAAAATCATCTTGATTTATCCCCATAGCTGAACTGGCATGTTGGGACAATTGTTATAACCTTTAAAAGGTTGTGTTGATGCTATTTCTCAGCATTTTTATACTTCAAATCTTAATAGTATTTTTACATTCTTACGTAAGGGGGGCTACCTTTCTTTTGATCATTAAGTGTCACTCTCTTAGCATGTTAAGTAGAAGTCTCAGGCAAGCTTGAGAAGAATGTTTGGCCTAAATATTGAGGTGGAGAATAATTTTGCAATGTAGTATTTCTAGTTGGGTTGAAAGTTATTAACCCATTAATAGCACAGTTGAAAACTTCTCTAATTTTTGGTGGTATGTCTCAACAGCCTTTCTTTCCTTAATTGGTGAGTGGCTAAGGAGGGTTAGAGGTGTGAGGGGGTACATTAACCAACCTTCATGGCACCTTTTCCATTTGCACAGAATTTCTAGATTAAAAACTTCAGGAAAGAGAGGGAAGTGTAAAGGCCCAGGAGGGGTGATAAACAAATTTGTACCATAATAATGCTACCTTGGATACACTTGGTTCTTACAACTTTTCCAGTACTATACCAGCATCTTTTAAGTGTTTTTAGATTAATTACAAGAAAATTTCACATGATAGAACAGAATGGGCTCAATTCGAAGTATCATTAAAAACTATAGGGAAGATGTCGGTACTTTGCAGCAGGAGAGCTGGCCAGGGATGTTTTTAATTGATTCTTTGTATTTATGCTTGTTTCTTTCATAGTGACCTGTAGGTCACACCTGTTAAAATTTTTCAAGAATTTATTTTAAAGAGTTATTCAATAGTTAGATTCCAGTGTGTATGAGGGTGACTGAACTGGATTTTTGAAGTTCTTTATTAACTTGGAATTTCACACGGTAGGACTTTGCCTATATCCCTTTTTCTGTTCATCCTAGTCCATCTCTTTGTTGTCGTCATTTTCTAGTTTCTGGATGCCTGAGCCGTCAGTATATTAGCAAACTTCTACTAATCACCACCCTTGAGAAAGTAGTCTTTAATAGTAAATTTATAAACATTGTCTTACACATCTTAGCTTTCATATGTAGAATTACTATGTCTTGATATGTAAACATTCACTGAGTTTAATTTTATTTTCACAGGGCTCACAACAACATTAAACCAGGATGCTATGTTCTTAAGTCTATATTTGCATAAACATTTTGACTCTTGATGGAAAGACTTAAGAAGATCAAGGTCTCACCATTTGTCCTGATTTGTGTGACCATGAAATACTGATAGCATTGAATCTTGAAATGATTTAATAATATGAGTGAGGATTTGCTTTCTCCATTAGAGCATTAAGTAAGCTAAAACTATCAACATTGTAAACCAAATTGCCTTATTTTTCTTCCAAACTTCATATATGTCTATCAGGTAATATAGGCTTGAAAATTGATATCCTGTGGTGCTAAAGTACAGTAGAAAGAGAGGAGAATTGTATACATGTTTTATTTTAAATTGTACAAAAGAATTTAAAAATATGTAACTGCTGTTTATACATTGGCTCCGTAGTGCTTATTAATCTGTATTGTACACATGATGGAATGAAGCAGAAGCTGGGAGTTGGCCTTTTCTTTGAGCAGCCACCACATGGCCCATCATCTGTGCCAAATATGGGAGCTCCTAGTCTGGCCAGTGCCAAGAGGCTGCCAGGATTGTTGCAGGTGGGTGGTGTCAAGTGTCCCAGAGCCACCTGCTGCAGTTACCACAGGATGCTGAGTTTGTGCACCAGGTGGCAGCACCCATCCATTATTTCCAGTGGAGACCTAGCCCAGGTCAAGATGAGTTAGTTAATAGCATTGGGATATAGTCACTGTAATGGTGCTATTAACAGTTGACATCATTGTATTTTTTAACTTTGTGTTCTATATCTCCTCAGCCACGTATCTTAAATATCTTACTTTGACATCGTATCTTTATGGTGGGGGCAGACCTTGCACTTACTACAGTGCAACACTTGCACTTTACTTTTTCCTCCAACTGTCTAAAATTAGAGCAAATACATTGGCAATACAACTGCTTTTGCTCTGAGCTACAATCATGGCTTTTCATGTTACTTACCAAGTGGTGTTTCTGGTTAGGAATCACAGCTGTAAAACTGATTTCAGTTCATTACACTTCTTCATGATGTTGCCCCTAAATTTTGCACACTATATTCTTGTATATTATTTCAAATAAAATGAAGAGAAAAAAGTTTATTTCTGACTTCTGCTGTTTGACCTTGACTAAGTGTTATATATGAGTCGTCAAAATAACCAGGTTCAGGGGATGAGAAATAATAAGGTACATTCCTAACAAACACTCAGAAGACTTCTGTTTCGGTTTTATAATTAGGAGGTAGGTAAGGGGACTTAAAATTTTAATTGAAAATAATAAAAATGTTAATAACAGGGCAAGGGCAGTACAAAAATAGGGACCCAGTTTATCTACTATTTATATTGTAGAATAAAAAATATTCTATTTTTAATTTGACATATTTATTACAAGGTTAAACAACCTTATTTAGTGCTATAACAGAAGTAGCACAAGTGGGTGGCTTTAACAAATTTATTTTCTCATAATTTAGGGAGGCTAGAAGTCCAAATTCAGGGTGCCAGCTCTAGGGGAAGCCTTTCTCTCTGTTGGCTCTGGAGGCGGGTCCTTGTCTCTTCTGAGCTTCTGTTCTGGGCAGTCTTCATGTGGCTTGGGATCTCTCTTCCCCCATCTCTGATTGTTTTGCTTGGCTTGTTAAGCTCTTTTACATCTCGAAAGAGACGACTGACTAAAAACACACCCTACACTAATCCTGTCTCATTAAAGTAAGAAAGATAACCCATTCCCAAATGGGATTATAACCATAGGCATTACCGCAGAGTTGATTCGACTCATAGTGCCCCTATAGGTTAGGATTTACAGCACATACTTTGGGGAGACACAATCCATAACATGATCCCAAAAGTGGCTTTTAATAAAATGATGCACTAAGCGTAAAGAAAGCCTTGCTTTATTTAAAGACACAGTATGACATTTAAACAAGGACACCAGTGGTTCCCAAACTCAGCTGCATATTGGAATCACTTGGGGATGCCTGTCTCCCTCCCTCAGACATTATAATTTTACTAGTATGGGCTGCAACATGTGCATCAGGAATTTTCAAGCTCCCCCAGTCATTGTAATGTGCAACCAAATTTGGGAACCACTGAGCTACTTACTCAGCCAACAGGTAGGTTTGGGGAAGCAGTGTATCTTATTATATAACTTGATCATATCCACTTAAAAGCAGTGGGGATTTTGTGTGTGTGTGTGTACCCATAGGAGGACACAGTTACGTGATGGGAAAGAAATTGTATCCAGCCTTGTAGAAAAATCAGCTAGGGGAGAATAGAGCTGGATGTCTTTTGGAAAAATCAGGTCCATGGAGTTTGAAAGTTGTGATAAATCTATTTTGACATTTTATGCTACTCAAGGTAGGAGTGCTGAAGAGGTAAACAAAAAGATCAATAGGAAATAGAGAAAAATCAACTACATTCTTACAGTAGTGGCTAGTTGCTGTTAGAGTATAATGTATGTTTCTTAGTTTAACTGTCAACCTTGACTGGGTTGGTGCAAAATGGAGATGAACACGTACTTTAGATTGTCACTGAAGGGTAGACATGGCTTTTTGAAGGAGATGAACCATTATGGGATAAACTGGTGCAAATTCTTTGCCTTCTCTGCTTCTTACTGATTGAACATAAGCTTCCAGGGCTCCCCTGAAAACCAAAATGAAAACAATGTCAAAAAATACATAAATGAAATAAAACAGCTTAACCAAAACCAAACCTATTGCCGTCGAGTTGATTCTGATTCATGGCAACCCTACAGGACAGAGTAGAACTGCCCCACAGGGTTTCCAAGGAGCAGCTGGTAGATTCAAACTGCTGACCTTTTGGTTAACAGCCCAGCTGTTAACCACTGCACCACCAGGGCTCCTAAAACAGAGGATGCCAATATATACAAATTAGAAATAAGCCCATTTCTGGAAGTATCATGCTCAGTTTCACAAGCCAAGTGGCCAACAGCCTTCAAACATTTATTTGTAAGTGTTGCTATGGCTAATGTGCAAAAATACAAACTTTTAGTCTGTATTGTACTGTGGAGGAGTCCTGGTGGCCCAGTGGTTAAGCGCTCGGCTGCTAACCTAAAGATTAGCAGTTAGAATCCACCAGCCACTTGGCAGGAGAACAGTGTGGCAGTCTGCTCCCATAAAGATTTGTTGTTGTTAGGTGCCATTAAGTCAGTTCTGACTCATAATGACCCGTGTACAACAGAACAAAACACTGCCTGGTCCTGCGCCATTCTCAGACAATCATTGCTATGTCTGAGCCCACTGTTGCAGCCACTGTGTCAGTCAGTCTTGTTGAAGGTCTGTTTTTTACTGACCCTCTACCAAACATGATGTCCTTCTCCAGGGACTGGTCTCTCCTGATAACATGTCCAAAGTATGTGAGACTAAGTCTCACCGCCCTCGCTTCTGAGGAGCATTCTGGCTGTAGTTCTTTCAAGACAGATTTGTTCATTCTTCTGGCAGCCCATGGCATATTCAGTATTCTTCGCCAATACCATAATTCAGAGGCAAAAATTCTTCGATCTTCCTTATTCATTGTCCAGCTTTCGCATGCATATGTGGCAACTGAACATACCACAACTTGAGTCAGGTGCACCTTAGTCCTCAAAGGGACGTATCTGCTTTTTAACATTTTAATCCATAAAGATTGCAGCCTTGGAAACCCTGTGGGGCAATTCTACTCTGTCCTGTAGGGTCACTGTGAATCGGAATAGACTAGATAGTAATGGGTTTGGCTTGGGTTTTTTTTTTTTTTTTTTTTTAAACTGTACTACAGTAAGTGGTTTAATCAGTTTCCCGTTCTCCTACTTCCTTATTAGAGACTTCAGAAAAGCCACACTGCAGCTTGTAGCTATTTACAGAGCTCACCAGGGGGAGCCCGGCACTGTGGGAAGGCATGCTTAGGTGTGCTGAGAGGATAGGGCCCTGTGGCTCACAGAGTAACACTAGTAGGTTATTATATCCCTGTTGTCGAAGGAATATGAACAACCCACAACTAGAATAAACTACTCTTGGGCTCAATTTTTGATAAATGATGCGATGAGGAAGCAGTCTGAATTTAGTCAAAAGCATGTGGTACCAATCAGCTATTTATGATATTCTCATGAATTAGATCAGAAGTCAGCCAAGTAGGCCTGCAGGCCAAATCTAGCCCTCCACCTGCTTTTATAAAGTTTTATTGGAACACAGCCACACCTATTTGTTTATGTATTGTCTATGGCTGCTTTCACATTACAACGCAGAGTTATCTGAATAGTCCAGGCAGAGGCCTGCAAAGCCTAAAATATTTACTGTTAGGCCCTTTACAGAAAAAGTCTGCCAATCTGAACTAGTTCCTCTGCTTAAGTATTAGATCATGTTTAAGTGGAGCTAAAAAGAATGGCTCAAAGACTAATTTTTCAGTTTCCCAATCAGATTTTTGCTGTAATACTGTTTTCTTCAAAATTTCATACTTTGAGATTCAAGCATTTCTATAAAGACAAATTAAAACCATTACTCAGCTCACTTACTCAATCTCAAGTCCCATGTAATACTTAGTTCTTAACTGATTCTTTGGCTCCCAAACATTGAAAACATAAATCCTAGGTCCGGTTATTTACATTTAATTGTGCGGAATAAACTTCCCAGAGTCCTGTCTATTTCATTGCTCACTCTACAGTCTCCCTCCACTGCCATATACTAATGAATTTCAAATCTCTTGTTTCCAGCCCTGATCTCCCTTCTGATTTCTGTATCTGGCTGTCTTCTGGACCTCTTTAGGTGACTTGCTTCTAATTTGCCTAACTCACTTGTCAAAAATTCACGGCAGTGTTCTGCCTCCTTTCCCCCGTTTCAACAAAGGGCATCATCTCCCCAAAGGTCTCTGTCAAGTTCTCTTTGACTCCTACACCAACATCCGATCCTATTAATTTACCTCATTGGTGTATTTCCACATCCAGCCCCTCCTCTCCCCTTTGCTTCAGTTTGAACTGCTGCCATCTTGTGCCCTAATTGTGGCTGCAGCCTCTCAGGTGGTTGTTCTGGCACTGTCTTCTCCATCTTCCATGCTGCATCGAGAGAGGTCTTCCTGAAGTATAGTATCACTTGCCATGCCATTATCTCTACAGGACGATGTCTAAGCTCACCACCTTCATCATCATCTTCCCCCAGCCTTTACTGTGCTGCAGCTAGGTTCTAGACAGTTTGATGTTGCCTAAAAAAACCCTTAAATTACTAGTTTCAGTTGTTTGTGTTACCAAGTAATGTGCAAAGCAGCTTCACCCCATTTGTAACTCTTAGCCCAACCCCGATGTCCACCCAGGTGGAGGCTGGGGTGTTTGTGTGCATTGTAGTACTCTGAAATATATATTTCTCTGTAACAAGGTAGGGGCTGGGAAAGAGTGCTTATCTTCAGCCACCCCAAATATCTCATAGTTATTGGGACACATTCTTTTAGGCCTTTGCATATTATCCCTGGAATGTCCTTCCTTGCTTTCTTCTGTGCAGCTTTTTATCCTTTCAGACCCAGCTCAAATGGTCCATCTTTGCTAAAGCTTTTCCTAATTCCAGACAGCACAAAAGAATGGAAACGTCTTGGAGTTACAGGAATTTGTGGAAAGGTCTATGACTTCTGCATCAACAACACTGGCTTAGCAGGATCTCAGCATTTTGGAATCCCTGGGGGCTGGCTCCATTCTCTGTTCAGGGAATGATTCTTTTCAATCTGCTGTGTGTGGAGAAATGGACAGGCTCCTATTAAGAGGTATATGTCTGGATATTTGGCTTTTCCCCACTACCTAGCTGTGTGACCTTGGCTACATTTTGAGCCTATCTGCTCATCTGCAAAATGGGAATAATACCTACATGATACAGTTGTGAGACTTAAAAGATTGCACTGTGATTGCACCTGGCCCTTGCTAGGTACACAGAAGGCACTCAAATACTGTTCTCTCACCACAGTTCCACGTGGGGTCTGGGGCTCAGATTCTCCATGTAATTTCAACAAGATATTTATACTTCTAATACCACATTATCACATTACAGTGTAAGCATCTGTGCACTTGTAAGTTAACATTGCGGGTTGGGTGTTCTGTTCATTTATGTATCCCCAGGATCTGGTGCTTGACAAGTGCATGGTGAATGAGTAAAAAAATGAATTAGAAATACAGGAAAGTAGAGCAGTAATGACAAGTAAAGACAAAAGTGCAGAAGAAATTCAAAGGCGAAATGTGATGGAGGGATCCTCAAAAGAAGCACCAACATGCAAGATGGAATTTAATGCTCTTACAGAACAATGTTTGGTCAGATGCCTTAGTTCATATCAGAGCCCTTAACAGAGCTATTTCTCTATAGAAAGCTTGCTTATTTTAGTAATACTTTTCCAGTTGCTATCCTATCCTGGGCAACCTCCTGTACCTCCACTCCCCAAATGTAGTCCTGAAGATTCATATACAGTAAAGAAATAGCCAAGGGCCCCAACTATTTTTGAGACAATGGTATACGTATATATACCACTAAGAAATAAAGTGAGTTGAAATTCACACACTAATATTTCTGTAGTGAATGGATTAAAACCATTTTATTTAATGAATAGGCAAAATCAACTTACCAGTTTCATTTGCATGCAAAAGTATAAGACATTATATAAATTACACAATATGTACAAGGAAGCTCAGAAATGAGTTTAGGTTGTGTGTTTTGTTTTTGTTTTTTTTTTGGTATACATCAAAAACACCATCAGAACTATGGGAGAAAAACAGATTTAAGCTGCCCTCCCATGTGAAAGCAAGATTTTCAAGCACTTTTATTAAATTATTTCATTTGCTTGAGCAAAACATCAGCTTTCTTGGAAGTCAGGCCAAGCATTATGTAAGAGTCTCAACAACTTTGGGTTTGTAACCAAAATAAGTAAATTGTTAAAGTTATCCTTATTAGGAGGGGGCGGGGGGCCCAATTAGCCAAGGAAACACGGCAACACTGCTCAATGTAACAGAAACTAGCCAAGTGGAGAGGTTTTCATGGAAAACAGATTTATGTCAGACAGTAAATATTCAGTGTGCTTAGTATTAAAATACATAAATGACTTAAAGATATACCAGATGCCTTCAGAGGTACTTAAACTTCAGGCTTTCCCCTGGCTCCACCCTCCCTCTTAGTCCCATCTCAGGCACCCAAAGTTTTCAGAGGTGTAGGTATCTAGTGGCATGGGAGGTACCAGAAGGGGAGACCAAACATTACCCTCTGTCAACAGGGGTCTAGTAGTTTTGCAGAAATACAGAGGAGCTGAGGGAATGGTTCCCAGCCGGTAGCCCTGGACCATAACAGGAGGGCAAGGGATTCAAGGATTCATACGGGCACCAAACATTGTCTGATAATTGAAAAAATAAGGTGCCACTAGGCTAATAAGACCTGTGGACATTTCTGACATCATAAAGGTATTCTCCTACTCAAATGGACTAAGAAAAAGCAATGGAGAAGAGGGCCACCAGAAGAAGAGGTGCTGCTCCATCACAAATATTAAGAATAAATGGGTTTGTGATGCACAAAAACGAACTCAAAATGGATCAAAGACTTAAATATAAAATCCAAAACGATAAAGATCATGGAAGAAAAATAGGGACAACACTAGGAGCCCTAATACATGGCATAAACACAATACAAACCATAAGTAACAATGCACAGGCACCAGAAGAGAGACTAGATAACTGGGAGCTCCTAAAAATCAAACACTTACGCTCATCAAAAGGCTTCACCAAAAGAGTAAAAAGACAACCTACAGACTGGGAAAAAAATTTTGGCTATGACAAATCC